CCCCAAAACCCCAAAACCCCAAAACCCCAAAACCCCAAAACCCCGTACCATTTGAATAAAATTGAAATTTTGATTTAAAATAATAAATATATTTTCAGAATATGAATTCGCAGAGGGCAAAAAGCTCAAAAGGAAAGAAGAGACAGAAGAAAACTAAAGAAACCAACCCAGACCTTCCTGATAAGGATAAGGAAGAACCGAATACTACCCAAGACGATAAGGTATTCCTCACTGGAATCAACATCGATACTGAGAATAAAGAATTAATAAAAGCTGAAGAGCCTGACCAGTCTGAACAGCCTGAATCTACTAACGAGAAATTATAGAGCCCAATGAAAATAACAAACTTATTTCAGCTTCTCCAAAGAAAGAGGAGAAGGAGAAGCCAATGACTTCCAACTTCTTCACATTATTTACGGAGAATGAAAAGATGGTTAATGAAAACCTGGCTGCGACAAGACACAAGAATAACAACTTCACTGTCCTGAGTGGCTCTAAATTATGGACTTTTAAGTTCGATCATATTATAAAGACTGGCAACGAGACTGTGGCCTCAAGCCAGCCTGAAGCAGAGAAAGATGAAGAAGAACCTCCTAATAAGCAAGAGCAATATGTTGATTGTGAAGTTGACCGTTTCTTGAACAAAAATAAAAATTTGATATATATCAACCTTACTGATGATACAACTGAAAGAATACCCTCTTATCTACCGGAATTCCCTAAGCTATTCTACGAGAAATGAATTCAGAAGAAGGAAGCAGAGAAGCCTGAAAAAGAGAAGGAAACCGAACCTGATAAAGACAAGGAAGAAGTCACAGAAAAGGGCTTTGACCTAAGAGTCTCATTCCTTTTGGTGAGAGAACATGAAAGAGTTGACTTGATCATCGAATATTTTAATGAAAAGTTGAAATAAGATAAACAAACAACAGATGCAATCTAGTGAACATCCTCAGTCAGAAGTGAATCATCTAGATGATCAATCTAATTTACATGACAGCCTGTCCCAGTTTGAAGCAGCAAACAATTTTAATCTAAAACTTCAGGCCCAAGAGTTGGAGAAGGAATTTGTCTTTAACTTCAGGACATTCAGAGAAGTGTTTCCTTACATCTCCTCTGTTTGTGTGAACGACCACTATGATATAGAAGAAGCCTATGAAAAATGTATTAAGAAGCATCTAAATCCAAAGAAAAAGAAACTTGCTAATCTCTCCAACATTGTTGTGATCCAATTTCATAAAACTGAATATGAAAGGAAGAGGAAGAATGGAGAATTAGTATCAGAAAAACAGAAAACTAACTTCTTCACATATATCCATACTCCATTTAATGACAAGAATATTAATTGTGACGTAGCGACTATCTCTGAGATTATCGGCAGAGTGATGAAAAGGTCAGAAGCAAAGGTCTTCAGCCGCTTGTTCAGAAAATCCCAAATGCTATGACGGCTGCAAGATTTCCTATTTCCTGCTTACCCTAGCAAGAAGGAATTCATGGCAACACAAACTAAACTACAGATCACACTTGGCAAATATTGTGACATTAAGAAGCTGAAGAACCTCTTCACATTGCTAAACTACTTTAAAGATAGGTACAAAAATGAGTTAATAAATGATGCTAAGGCATCGCAACTCCTCAAAAAGTTCTTCAAGCAAGACTTTATGAAAATCAGAGAATTTGTAAAAGAATCCTCGATCCATAAACAAATGAACGACCTTAACAAGCATAAGAGTAAATATGCAGCTCCTGGATATGGAGAGGTCACTATGAGTATATATTCTTACTTGATAAGTCTCTTATCCTTTGAGTATGAGCAGCATAATCTAACCTTGGCTAATTATATCGAGAATAATGCTATTGAAGGATCTGATCAAAATGATCCATACATCCAAGAATATGCAAGGACTTATGAGAAGGATTCCCGCATGAAAAGGAGAGACAACTCAAGCCAAAGAGCACTAGTCTTAGCGAGTTATAGCCAACCTCGTGAACCTATTGAAGCTCACCAGAATCCAGAGAGAATAGATATCGAGAAAAGAATCTATATTGATAGTCTTAAGAGACATTTGAGTAATAGATTTGAGAAGGAACCTGGAGGAGGGAAATACCAAGGAGGTCCAGGAGATCTTAGAGCGTATTTTAAAAGTGACCGGTCGAGATTTTCAACGCATATGCCTCATATATCTAAAAACAGGATGTCCAATGCTCATAGCACAATGGGCCAACGTCGAACTACGAATCCATCAAAGCATAGATTAATTAGGATAAGTAATGAGCAGTACCATACTTCTCAACAAAGAAGACATATAATTCCAAATATGAAATCAGAGTCGCATAGAAGTGGGCCATTGTATAACAATGGGAAAATGAGTAGAAGGAGGAAAAGAGATACAGAGACTTACAAATAACTTCAACAACATGGGCAATCAATCAATAGGTGCTCCTATAAAGGAGAGCTCAGATTACGCCGAAGGCTTAAAAAGATCTCAAGGCGAGAATGATCCTCATCCTTACGGCCAAAATGAAGGAAACGATGAACCACAGAGAACGCTCGAGTATAATGACAACACCAGCGGGTCAAATAAAGAGCAGCATCGCTTCTCTAAGACTAGGCCTAAGCGTAAACGTCCAAATTCTCACCACAGGAAACTGCAGAACCCCCACCATCCTAAGTACATGAGCATCCGCCAGTCCAAAGGACTTTCGATAAAGCCACGAAATGCTACTACAGGAGAAGGTAACCTTTCATTAATCCCATAGGATCCTTGCATAGGAGAAACAATCTGAATCAACAAAGAGCTAGGCTTGTGATGAACAATGAGTCAAAGATTAGGAACATGTTCAAAATGATACCATCAAAGCCGATATTATCATCAGTCCTTAAAAGATAACCAAAATATTATACAATCGCCCATCCTCTAAGAGGGGTTTTGGGGTTTTGGGGTTTTGGGGTTTTGGGGTTTTGGGGTTTTGGGG